GCCCACGGTCAGCTGGGGGCGCCCCAGCGCCCGGAGCTGCTCGCGCTCGGCTCGCTTGCGCCCCTGCTGGCGGGCGGCGGAATAAACGGCGTCAAACCCGCGTCTGCCTCGGGGATCCTGGGGGCCCCCAGACGTCTGCCTCTGGCCCCGCCCCCAGCGCGGGAGGGGCGCCGCGGCCCCGCCTGCCCCAGCCTCCCCCGCCCATGTCGAGAGGGACACTGGGCGCGTGGCTGGCTCCAAGCCCCCTGCCCCGACTGCCGCGAGAGGCCCCACAACCCTGCAGCCGCCAGCCCCGCCCAGCGCCCCCTCCCTGTCCAGGGGGACCCGGGGTGTCAGCCCAGGGTCCCCGCAGAGCCTGCCCAGGCCCCGGCAGTAGCTGAAGGAATCGCTGGAACCGGGGTGGGGGTGGGGAGCAGCGAGGGTGGGGACCCCCGTTTTGCCCAGTTTGAGAGAAGGAGCCGGGCTCCCACCCCGCTGGTCAGTCACTGGAGAGGGGCCAGCCTGGGGGCAAAGGCCCGGCGCCCCAGGAACCCCGGGCATAGGGCAGCTGAAGCGGTACAGCCGGAGGCCCCTCATGGGGTGGGGGGGCACAGCCTTCACGGTCCGGCCGGGCCCTGACACCTGCAGCCCCCTCTGACCCCGGCGGCCCCCCACGGCCTGGGCCCCCCCTGCAGTCTCTCGGGCAGCAGGGAGTTCAGCGGGGACCGCGGTGAGGCGGCGGCGTCCCACCGAGGGCGGCGGCAAGCGAAAGGCCGGTCCGCCCCGGGGTTCAGCTCAGGGAAAGGCTGGACTGCCGCTCGCCAGTCCCGGGGCCTGCCCACAGCCCTGGCCACGGCTACTCTGTGTCCACGTGCCTTTGACAGCTTCGTCATCGCGGTTGTCCCGCGCAGCTCGCCAGCTCCGCCCCGTTCCTGCCCGTTCCGTTCTCTGAGTGGACCCGCAGGCCGCGGCCCCATGACCGCCCAGACCCCACCCGTCCGCTCGCTCTGGCCCCGGGTCCATTTCGTGTAATCTTCTCGAGGACTCGGCGTTAGACCTCTATGATCCATGCAGCTTTGTTTTATTTCATTTTTTACTTAAAGATTTATTTACTCTACAAGGACTGGGGTGCAGGCCAGAGGTGCAGTTGCGGGGGGCGGTGAGAGGACGCCCCAGAGACAGAGCGGGGAGCAGAACAGGCAGATGGACGAAGCCCACTGCGGAGGGAGCAGCGGGGGGGACAGGAGGGGGCTGCCGCGCCCTGGGGGTCCCTCCCTGGCCCGGGATCGGATCTGTGCTGCAGCGGCCGCGGGGGCTCCACAGCGCTGCGCTCTGACCCCCGAACCCCAGCAGGCCCCGCGTTCACGTCAACGACCCATTCCCTTACCAAGTGAAGAAGCAAAGGGCTTGGAAGCCCGAAACAGCGGCCAAGGAAACGCCGCCCCGCCCCATTCCCCGTCTGGTCTCTGCTGGGGTCTCCGCTCCCCCACGCCGCGGGGGCAGCAGTGGCCACTCTGCTTGGCCTGGACCCGCACCCAGCGGGCTGCCCCACCGGACACCCCCGTCAGGCCCAGCTGAGCCCTCCGTGGGGCTCAGCCCGCCGCACGGCCCAGGTGTGAGTGGCGGGGCCCACGGGACAGTGTGAGCACAGCCTGCAACAGCCCGGGGGGACGGCCACCCGCCCCCCACGCAGCGGCCGGACCCTC